CGGCCCCGGGGCGTTCCCGCCCCTCTCCGCGCCCCTGCGCCGTGTCTCCCGCACTCGCAGACATGCCGCGGTGAGGAGCGCGAAGCTCGGAGCTGACAGAGGCGCGGCAGCAAGAGGAAGAAAGCGACGAAGCCCCAGCCCCGATTCCGTCGTTATGGAGGGGGTTGTAATCAAATAGGGGGGCAGCTGGACGGCGGCTCTGTGACTGGTAATGGCAATAGCAGAAGGATAACAACGACAACTAAACACGAACGACAACAGTGAACACCGCTCTGCGGCACAGCTACAGAGTTTCACATCACACTCAAAGGAGTAAGGAAAAGCGTGTCAATCTCAGCCCCTAAGCACCTGAGCCCCCCTTGCTCGCTGGCTGTCTGGTATCTCTCTACTCGCACCGAAGACGGAGAGAACGGATCAAAAATCCTCTCTCCGGCACTACCACTCCCGTCCCCTTCTTGCAGCCTGGTTCAGAAAAGCGAACCCCAGAGGAGGCTTTTCCACTTCGGTTTTCCACCTCGATGTTATTCACTCACTTTATTCACGCGGGGACCCGCAGGGACCGTCCCGCCACCCCGGCGCGGCCCCCAAAGCAGTGCCCGAGCCCACGGAAGCTGTTTGCAGAGCTTGTCCAAGCCTCGCACTGGGCGGGGGCACATAAATCTCTCATATAAGGCCTCCCAAACAACCTCCCTCCGAGGTTTGGTGGAGGGGGGGGGGAGCAGAATTTGAGCCCTCGCCCCCTAGCAGTGGCGTAGATAGACGGGCTGCGCTGTGCTGCTTACAGCACGGGGGCGAGGCAGCTGCTGACCAGGGTCTCACAGGAGGAAGGAGGAGGGGGCTATTTCCCGCGGATCTAACGCGGGGGCAGGTCGCCCTCCCGGGTTGATCAAGACCTGCCAGGGCAGAGGAGCCTGCCCCTGCTCCCTGCCCCCGCAGAGCCAGCTCTGCTCCCGGGAAACTACGGCCCGGGGTAGGGGGGTGGGGAGCCAGAGGGAGCCCAGGCGCGAAAAATGCAGGTTGCTCCTCAATCTGTAGTTCCTCAGGACAGTCTCGGGCATCCGAAAGTTACCGAAAGTTTCCCGTTTATGTGGTCCTCCACTGCACACCCAGTTCCCAGAGCCCAAACTTTTCTGTATTCCGTTGCTTCCCCTGCTTCCCTTCGCCCCTCCACCCAGCCCCCCCGCAAGGGTCCCTCAGTCGCTGATGCTGGTTCGAGGTACGTATCATCCCTCGCAATCTTACTTATCGCTAAATTATACACATTACTTTCGCAGCCTGTTAGTAAAGAAGGTTAAATTAATTTACATTCTGGTCATTATCTGGTGTTTAAGTGACGTGTTTTTATCCCTGAGATTTGGCAAAGAATCTCTTTCCTCAGACCCCACAGCGTTTCGACGGAGACAACGCTCTTACATTTGTAGTGGATTTTAATCTGATAAGACTCTAATTTGCTTAAGTCTTTTAAATAGGGGTTTTAAAATTATTCTAGCCGTTTTCTTATTGAATTTCCTCTAATTCCCCCAAGATCATAAAGTATATGTGTAAAGTAAATATTTCCTCCCTTTGCACCGGCAGCAGATGACCTATAACTAAGTCAATATGAATCCAGCTCTATTCTGCACAATTTGTTTACCAATCATATCCCCGTTTCTTTTTAACCTCTCCCTACCTCAGTGGTCCTGAACCCAGAAATGCGTCCGTCCCGGCCTTTCCCCTCGGCGGGACCGCGCCAAGGCCGCGGGTGCGGAGCTGCCCCAGCCCTGGTGAGCCGGGCGCGGTCCCGGCCTCGCTGCGAGGGGCACTGGGGGGGAGGGGCTGCCCTTCTCCAGCCCCCACGTGGGGGCCTGCAAATCCTTGGGGTGGGGGAGCAGCAGGAAGAGGGGTTACGGTGACTTCCCCAATCTCTTTTTTTCAACAGGGCAATGCAGCTCTCTCACAGATGAGCCCTCCCCGCCCTTTCCTTTTCTCTCTCTCTTTTTTTTTTTTTTTTTCATTCATTTATTTTTGGTTAGTTTGGGGACAAGCTGGCTTCTTCTGCAGGGACTCAAAACGAAAAGTTCCTCCCTGTTGCGCGGCTCAGAGCCCTTTTTCACGCGGTTTACGCCCTGGCGGGGCGCAGCGCCGGTGCTCGCCCCGCCGCGGCCCTCCCTGTCCTGAGACACTCGGTAGGGGCGGGCGGGTCCCTGTCCGCTCCTCCCGGGGAAGGGGGAGTGGAGGAGCCGGGCCCGGCCACCGCGCTGCCCTCCCACACCTTCCCCAGCGCCAGGCACGTGCCCCACGGCCCCAGCAGGGACAGACTCTCCTGTCGTCCCCGCGTCCCTAAAAGCGGGATACAGCACCAGCCCGGAACACGGCAGCCCAAACAGAGAGGGTACAGGCATTTTCTTACATGCCTTTGATTAAAACTCCCCCACCCCGGGCAGGAGGGGAGCTACTACGCAGCATTAGTTGTCATGGTGACCATAAATCACGTAAATCCAAAAATACCCACCTATAATCTGAGATGAAGCTTTTATTTCCCGAGTGAAATAATATTTTAAAAGCTGTCAGCCAACCGAAAAACAACCTAATTGTAGTCACCCAAGTCATATATTAGCGGTAAAGGTTTCAATTAAAATGTCAAAAATGTTCTTAATTTTTTTTTCTTTTTCTTTCTTTTTTTTTTAAATTTATTCTTTTTTT